TGTGTGTGTGTATTTAGGCAAAATTCTCTTTTAGGCATGTCTGATTGAATAAATTACAAACATTATGTCTGCTTATTTTTATCATAATCCTTTCCTATTCACGAATATTTTTCCGTATATTACAATTAGATAATAAGGTAAGATAATAATTGTAATATACAGGAAAATATTCGTGTATATGAAAGGATTATGATAAAAATAAGCAGAGGTAATGTTTGTAATTTATTCAATCAGATATATATGAATTATATCATTCGACTGCAGATCAATGTCTAAAATCACTGTCGTCACAAGTGAGTCTGAATTAGAGTGAATAATCCGTTTTCTCTCACTAGAGTTTATAGTGTCAAACAAAACTAATACTTTATATGAAAAAGAAAATATGAAACGCCATTATTGCTGGAGACCTTTCGTTAGACTTGTCCAACACATGTTAGTAACTGATTTATGGTAAGCTGATTTTGTCGCTAGTTTAACTAGCCACATAGTTATAGCCCTATACGACTCCACTCTTCTCTTCTTTACGGATGGCAAAGCACTCCAAACTTTCTCAATTTTGTTGGTGGACACGCAAATTGACAGAAAGACACTTAAAAACATTTTTTTTATTTTCGATTAATCACGTCATTGCATACAGGCACTAATGCATAAAAAAGACACTATTATATGCTTTGCTACAGGTTGTTATACCCCAAAAGCTTCGACTCCTGTGCCATCTGGCCTTCGTCAGTTGTCTCTTTTCGTAATGGGTAACTTTCTTAGATTTTCGACCAGTATCTTCTATTCAATATACGGGCATAGATTGGTCTTATTCTGCTTTCCATGTTTAGGGGGAGATAACTCATGTGAGTTAATATTCACCAATTTTATTCGCCAGTGTGTCACTTGTACGGTTTTTCCACTAAACCAAAGTGTGTGATTTTTTTTTTCAGTGCTACCAAATTCAGAGACTGAACTCAAAACTGCCAGGGAAGCGAATGTTTTTCTCCAACGATTTAATCCACTCGACTACGTGTCCCTTGAATGCAAAGCCGAATTATGCGCATGCGTATTCGAAAGCATGTAATGGTAATTACTCACCTTAAAAATTCCGAAAGAATTACATCAAGAGACTTTTAAAATATTCTTAGAGAATCTCATTATCGATTAATCACGTCGTTTCATGCCATTTCTTATAGGAAAGTCTTGAAACAAAATTTCCCTGTGTTCTGTCCTACTGATGTTAACTCTCCAAAAATATATTTTCTTTTGGCTCATATGACACTTTGCAATAATTTTTAAAATTTGTTGACCCGATACTAAAGGGAGCACTCATCGGCATCTCACCCTGACAAGTACTGTTCCACAAACTTCTTAACAGTACATCAATCAGTTGATCAGTTTCACTCTAAGCTTTCTGTTAAGAATCATTGAAGAGACGAGGAGAAAAAATGACACACATAGTCCTGGTATGATGATAAACTACATCCGGCAGCCAGGGCTCTGATCGGGAGATTGGAAGTTTTGAGGAGCGTGGAGGCACCTCTGAATTACTGTTGTTCCCAGGTCCACCTTGACCCGGGTGGTAGCACCTGTCAGGGTCCTAGATATGGGAAAATATTGAAGCCCCAAACAATACACCATAAAAGTATAAAATACATTTTTATAGTAAAAATACCAAGAAATACATTTTTGTGAAATATATATATATATATATATATATATATATATATATATATATATATATATATATATATGTATACCAAGAATACCTATTTATAAAGTAAAATTAAAACAATACATTTTTAATTCAACATGACCAGCAATATATTTTATCCGTAGTTGAAATTCAAGATATATTTAATTGAAGCCATAAAATTGTTCAAATTATTTACATTTTGGCATTAAATAACCCGTAAAGATTGATATGCCGCTAAATAAAACCAACCAAACAACCAATATGGAAGAATTCTTTCATGATATTAATCCATATAATATCCGAGAATTTCTTAAAATCAAACTGTATTCTATAACTTCAACAAAACTACAGAATAACACACACATATCACCGCCTCTAATAATTATGTCCACACAAACGTGTATATGCACTTTAGCTACCATGTATTTAATTGTGAATGCAAAATAATATATATCATATTTCTATTACTGCAAAGTTCCCAAGAAAATTAAGTTTCGACATTAAATGACCCATAAGGTGTTGATATGCCGTTACACAAACAATTCAATCAATTAACTGATATTTTTTCGGTCTCGCACAAATGAAGATTATTCTTTATAACTGGACTAACCAAATTCGATGGCATCAACCATTATTTTTTTTCAGTGCTAAAATAATCCAATTCTGTTCAACCTCAGCGTTATTTTGAATGCTTTAAGGCAGTGGTTCCCAAACGGTGCGGCGGAAGAAGATAGCAGTCGAGGCCGAATAATTGAAAGACAAAGATGTAGTTTCAAAAAAATCATATGCCAAAAATGAAAATGATTTCAATCGTTAAAATAT